CCAAAAAACCAACACTTATGGTATTTTTGGAATGTAAATCTATGTTGTTCGCATAGATCTATTTTGTACTTTTTTTTACATTCCTATGGTTTTCGTTTACTTTACAACAATGTTAATAGGAAAGAAATATAAATCTAAGAAGAAGTAAAACATAAATAGAGATAGAAGAAAAGATCACTAGGTCTAACTATCTAAACCACTGTTAGTAATTTTACGATGTGCTTTGATGGTTCCTGAACAGTTGCTACTGAAAAATAACTGAAGAACTTCACTATAAGTTTTTCCTTGACGATAGGCTTCTAAACAATTCCAAAATCTTCGGAAAAGCTTAAGATGAACTCCCTTCTGTTCAAAATTTGTTCGTGATTCGTCTATCAATCTTAGCATAGTATGATAAGTTTGATCAGTTCTATTTCTTATGAATTGTTTCATATGAGCCCAACATCCCACGATCGCATTGATTTCACAATGAAATTTCGGGCAGAATACTACAGATACATGATATCGTTGTGCTAGTTGTTCTTGTCGTGAAATCTAGAGGAGACGAAAAGACAAAATCATGTCAGACAGTTTTAGATCACTTCAAAAAATAATACGTTTTGAAAAGCTGGATGATGAGCAAGTAAACGACGGAGTTCATTGAGTTTTGCTTTAGGTGATGGATTACACTTAAGTTCTACAGCAATTTGAAATAAACCTTTAGATTTTTCTCCGTTGGGACCATGTTGAAAATAACATGGTAACGATTGCCTAACACCTTTTTTATCCACCCATTCCAAATTATCAACAGGACAACGTGTTGAAATACCCTTTCCAAAATCGAATAAAATATAAGCACGAGCTGAATGTGTACGAGCATTATCTACAATAATTTCAATATTATGACCACTAAAGCATTCTTTGAACACCAATAATTTAAATAATCGTTCGAATTGTGCTAATATAGACGAATTATCAAAAAAACCACCAGAACCAACATGTATAGATCCACTAGCAGAACGTTCTGTATAATCAATATCTTGCTCATCATCTAATTCAGGATATTTTTGTAATGCCTTTTCATATTCAGCTGGACTCAATTGAAAGAACGGACCCGATCTATGCATAACCAAGAAGTCAGATATCATATAAGATCGACCATGTCCCTTTGAATAAAATAGCGCATGGTCTTCATACGTCCAACGTTTTGCTGTAATCTCGCCGCTTCGAAAGGTACTTTCATCATGGACTAAACATAGAAAAATAAAAAAAGCATCCCACTGTCAACATTTTTCCTCCCTGACAACATACAAAGCTAAATAGTTGGAATTTCAGCTGTATGAGTTTTCCATTTCGGTTGTTCACCTTCAGTAATCAAATAATATGAATCTTTTCGTGTAAGAAAGTATTGTACAAAATTTTTACGATGTTGTACTACATCAGAGCGTTCATGACCTTCGAAGTAGGGTCGTTGTGAATTAGATTCAAAACGAGCACTC